CATTATACTTTGAGGCCATGAAACCAGACGAGAGTAACTGCTTGGATCTGTTAATCCAGGCGCAGTGGGTGTCCAGAGTGCCAGCTGGGTGACCAGCAGGTTAACACTGGCACCCACTCCGATGTCATTTTGTTCCCTCCTGCTTCCCAAGGCCCAAGGTCCCATGAAACGAGAGCTCCCCCGGTACTGAGGTTCCAGTTTAATGCCTGGAGTCAGTGGGTCAGACTGTCCTCTCGGGGGAACGGGAGTGGTGCGGTGGGGGCCGCCTTTGGATGAAGCCCCTTAACAAGGTGGGAGGGAGCCCCTCCCCTTCCTGAGCTGAAGGCCACCCCACCCCAGGGGCCTCCTGAGGAAGCCAGAGCACCCCCAGCTGTCTGCTGCTTAGGTGATGAAGCTTCGGAGACTGGGCCTGGCTGAGGGAGCCAGGCAGAGCCGCCCTCTGACAGGCACAACCAGCCACTTTGTTGTATTTTGAGGGAGGGGAGGGTGTTAGAGCAGTTTCACCCACCTTAGAATATTAAGGCCCTTCTGATTGTTTATTTTGTGGAAGGGATTTATACATTTCATTGGAAAAGTTTACAAAGTTTCAGACCTTTGTCGTGAAGTATGACAGCACCAGACCACCAAGGTTATCTCGTTAATGAAAGATACAAAAATAAGCTAACGCGCCAGCTGGAACAGATACAGGCATGTCACCTCCTTACTTTCGACCTGAAAGACAACAAAAGGCCTACTTAGACCTGTCCCCATTAACCAGGAGTGGTGTCACACCGCCGGCCAAACATGATGCTTGAAACAGCCTAAAATGCCACCGCTGGACTGCGCCTGAGCGGGAATAAACTGCACCTGTAACCTGGGGCTCAAGGAAGTCCCAGTCCTATGTGCTCCGTGACTGAGCTGTGCACCGAGGGAGCATGTAACGTCAAGTCAGCTAGAGATGCACTACAGCGGCCTTTCAACATTCACCGCTGGGACACGGAACTGCCAGCCTGACACGAAAGCAACTACACCCACACGTGCCACCTGGACCGGTACCTGAGTCGCTGGGCCAGCCAACAGGAAGACAGTGTGTTCAAAGCGCCAGATGGTCTGGAGTCAGAGGCTCTCGCAGCTGAGCACCTGTACAGAAAGGTTAGATCCACTCAGCCAGCCCTCACAGCTTTCCCAGGAAGCCACAGCTTTCCCAGGAAGGCAGTTAGGGCGGCAGCTAATCCTGAGCCCCTTCAGGCACAGACCACACAGAAGCATCAAGTGTAACTAAAGAGAAACAATCAAGTGTAACCAGAGAGAAAGAATCAAGCCTAACTAAAAAGAAGCAAGCAAATGGAACTAAAGTAACTCGCTTCCATTTTTATTCAACAGCAGGTTTAGGCAGATGCTTCACTGAACTTGAAGGTACTTCTGGTTCATAACACTAGTAAATGGATTCAACTGTGTCCCCAAAATGGTAGGTTCAAGTCCGAATCCCCAGAGCCTGAGAACGTGCCACCTTTTGGAAGCAGGGCCATTGCTGATGTAATTAGTTAAGACGGGTCCATAGTGGAGTGGGGTAAGACCATAATTCAATGACTGGTGTCCTTAAAAAGGGGGGACATCTGGACACAGGGAGAAAACTCTATGAACATGAAGACAGGTTGGGGTGATGTGTCTACAAGCCAAGGAACATCAAGGATTGCCAGCATCCACCAGGAGCGAGGGGAGAGACCTGGGACAGACTCTCCCTTAGACCCTCCAGGGGAACCAGCCTCAAGACACCCTGACCTCAGCTTCAGCCTCTGGAAATGAGAGACGAGGAACTCGCTGTTCGAGCCACCCAGTTAGTGGTTCTTTGTTATGGCAGTCCCGGGAAACAAAACAGCTAGACTCCAACTTTAATTCAGAATCCAATTTTAATGGAGATTACATTCATGCAGACTCCTACATCTACCACGCCACAGAGAGCAATGCTCAAGGCTGCTCCTGCCCCCTCCGTGGGGCGGAAGCTGGTTCTACCCTTGTTATGGGAGGGGCTAGGTCAGCACGTCGTGGCTAAGACTCTTCTCACCCGGCTAGGCTGGTGGGTCTGCTCCCCCGTGTGCAGCTGTGATCCAGAGGATGTCTGTGCTTAAAACAGAAGTTGCCACGACACTGTTCACAAGCCACTGGCAGCATCTCTTTCTTCTTACATCCCTCTTTTGAGCACCGGTATGTAAAAATCTGAGGAAGCCAAAGTTACTCAGTATTTCAATTGTTCAATAAGCAATTATTCAACAAGCCCCACACTAAAACCATTAACATTTAACTAGGAACAGTTCTTAGCTACACGGAATGAAGAGGTCAAGGTTCCATTCAAACATTTTATCGTAAAACATTGAATACTAATTAAAGGGACAGTTTTAACAAGTATAAATACAAAAGCAGCTATTTAGTTGGGGATTCATGGAGGGTGCTTAGAGGTGTTCTCAGGAAAAAAAAGCACAAGAAACCCAGGGGGTGGGGACTAGGGACATGGACGGGAGGCCAAGCACTTGACATCATGCACAGTCCCACAGAATGCAGCTGGATCCAGGGGCCCTGGAGACAGTGGAGGTGTCCTCACCAGGGGAAGGGAGCTGGAATATCTATCTAGAGCCCCAGGCACTGCCAAGTCTGAAAGTAAGAATGTCAGAGAGAATGTGGAGAGGGTAGTGTCCAGCTGCCTGGGGGCAGCCCTCCGGCAAGGACAGTCAGGTGGCGGCTGCCTCACGGGACCTGAGCATGTGCAGAAACACACAGGGTGCTGGGAGGACGCTGGATGTCTGCTGCAGGTACCCAGGTACCCGGAGCAAAGAGCTCCAGAGGAACAGAGGCGGTGGGCAAGGAGAGGAAGCACTTAGGTGGAAAGTCTCAGCTGAGCCAAGAATAAGGGGAACCATGTCAATTCAGGGGGAGGCATGGCAGGTGGAGCTGAGGGAAGGAGGTTTTAAAAGGCTTTCAGAGGGCTGGAGGGCAGAGCACGCAGCACACAGTGAGAGCAGGAGAAAACTCGCAAAGGGCTTTGTGTGGTGCTAAGGCACGTAGATGTCTCTCTCCTGCTCAAGGGTGAAAACAGGAAGCAAAAGTTAGCAGACCTTAAGTTTACTGACTATACAGTTACTATAGTTGTAACTGTGATTAAGGACCCGCAACAAGAAGCTGAGATTTAAGCTGACAAAAGCCAGTTCCCCACAGACGAGCTCTTTGGAAGCCCTGTGCCCGTTCTGGAGCAGGACAGGAAAGGGAGCAGCGCACCTCAGAAGGCAGCCAGCCTTAGAAACACCACCTGGATGCACCAGGAGGGTCCTTGGAGAGGGCAAGCTGCAGAACCGGCCCATACGTGACCAAAGAGGAGGCCCTAGGGAGGCCTAAGAGCCTGAAAACCCACTGTCTGAGGGGAGAGAACACACAGGTCAGCCTGTCTCCTTGGACTTGTGGTTAAGGGTGTAGAACTGAGCACACGTACGGGCTCTGACTCCTCCCAAAGTCATGAAAATGACAGAAAAGATTCTCTGAAAAGGAACAAACCCATGACGGCAAACAGTAACAAGGAAACCACCAAGCATTTTAGGTTTTAGGAAGATGCACAGGGACAAGTAGTAATGGACTTGACAGAGAAAGCCAGGTATAAGTTATCGGGAAGGTCAAGAGAAAACCCCGTTTATGGAAATAAAACCCCAAAGCTCAGAAATTGGCAGTCCTAGAAGCTTAGGGTTCAGGAATCAGACCCAAAGGCCCTGCCCAGCGCCAGCAGGAGACCTGTGCTCTGCAGAGGCTCAGAGAGGCTGTTGGCCTGGGGATGTGCAGCAGTTAAGAGAAAGACAGGACAGGGATTTGAGGACACCACAGTTCATGCTCCATGGGGAGATCTGACTGCTTTCTTTACCGGGCACCAGGATTCTGGGAGCCAGGAGTGTGCTCTCTCCAGGCAGGGCACTGACTGGCCCAAGAGAAAGACCTGACGACACAGACCTTCAGGCTTTCCCAAGGAAGTGGTCAGGGCAGATGACCCACAGGGAAGGCAAGTCCACAGCTCCCATGGAGCAAATGAGCAGTCAAACACAGACCAGGCAGGCGAGAACATTTACTGTGACACAGGAAGAACCACCTGGACACAGGTTATACAGGGAAAAGAAAACTTTTCCTCTAATAGGAAAAGCACAGCTGTGCCTGTGCCTGCCTGCAGGTACCTGAGGGAGGAATTCGAAGCAAGGATGCTCTCCCAGGCCACCAATCAAGCATAAACAGAGAACAAAGACCCTGGAAACCCAGGTCAATTTATCTTCCTCCCTCCCTGGGTTTGTGCCTCCACCAGAATAAGGTGTGGCCAAAAAGGGGCCTCATGCTAAACCTAATGAGGTCAGGGAGGCCTTGCAAACTCACAGACCCAAAGCGAACACAAAAGATGGATCTGAAATTAAAACTTTTTAAACATAAGCAGTCTATGGTGGGTAGCCCTGTCCTGAGTCAGTATTTTTCCTTCACAAAGGTTAATTTTCACTTTAACTAGGCCTATCAGTTATCTTTTGCATCTGTGATAACATTCCTGAGTAACACAAGCCTTTGCAAAACAAAGTAATTTCCCCTTTTTCTAGGCCCTCAATGCACCAGGGTAGAGACCAGGAATCTTCTCATTGTTGCTGATATCTTGTTAACTAATGACTGTTAACTATTCTGCACCCTCCAGTGTAAAAGTGTGTCTATCATTTTACTCTTTATCTAATCCCAGGTGCCGCGCCCCCCCCCCCTTGCTCTCTCCCGCCTCCCTCAATTATTACCAATGGATTTCTTGTAACCCACATGTCTCCTGCCTTGATTGTAACCTATAAAGCAAGGTGCAAAACTGCCATCTCTGGAGTATGAGCATTATTTCAATCCGTTGAGGTTTTGGCTTCTGGGAAACTGTTGCCAGTTTGGCTCAAATAAACTCACAAAAATTCTTAACATGTTTGAATGTTTCTTACCTTAACAAATGGAACAAACCAAGAAAGAAACACAGGACATAGAGACCAGGGACCCACAGGAAATGAATCGAGAGAGGCAGTGTCCTCAAGGAGGCGGAGGCTTAGAACACCCACCCAAAGCACACTCCACATCAGCACTGGCAGCAAGGTGGGGGGGAATGTGTGGGAGTCAGAATAGGGACCGGAGCTCCATGCTCAGCTCACACTATGGTAAAAAGGTGATACCCAAATGACCGGGGTGGGCACACCAAACATGGGAGGTAACAGAGTGCCCCTGGAGAAAACGCAGGTGCCCCAAACCAACCACCGGAGGCGGAAGGAGAGGCTCCACTCCCATGCGCAGGTCACAACTCTGATTAAACACCCAGGCTATCAGGCAAGGACACGGACACCTCAGCTTCGTTCCCTCCTCTGCTCCCCTAGGAGCTGCTCAGGAGTAAGTGCATAGTAACAGGGTGGTTCTCGAAAACTACATGAACTCTCCATCTTGGGAGAAAAAGTGAGGTTCCTGTGGAGAAAGCAAATCCTAAGGCAGACCCAAATGCTCAGAAAATGCGTTTCTGTGACTGTAAAAGCCTATGCCACTCACAAAACGGGACAACACTAACATCATTCGAGCTTCAGTTTGTACACAAGCCATCAGGACTAATTTCAGTTGGATGATTGGCACTTTCCCTCAAGGAAACCGACATTCTCAGAGCTGACCTGGAACTGGTCCTTACCTCTTTCTTCCCGGGACAGTATTTACAATCCCTATCAATGTGCTCACCGACGACCACATCTGGTATCTCTCCCCTTTTCACTGGAATTGGGTTGTTACACAACGGGCATACTGGGACCTGGACATCCTAAAAATAATGAACATAAGGTAATATTCGATTCAGACCATCAAAACTCACATGAGAGAAAGGCACAAGAGTACTACACTGACCCCTGACCGCCCCTGAGAAGGGGGCACTGTTAGCTTCCTGGGTCAGCTGTAAGGCACCCTAGGACTTAACAAAGGTGCCTAAAGTGGAATCTAATGTAATTTAAATATAACAGCCTATTAACCACCTGGAGAAGTGACCCCAAGTCGGTAAAAGATCGCCAAGGAAGGAAGCTGGTGACATCAATCTGATGGTCTCAGGACAGAGGGCTACTTGTCCAGCACTGTCTAGGTGAGAGATGAACCTGCCCAAACACCCCCAGAGTGGAGATGGCAGACAAAAACACTACCCGTAGGTCCTCTAGCTCTCTTCACATGTCAACAGCCTTTCTGACCCTTCTGTGACTTCCATGTGCAGGAAGACTCACTTGTCAGTCAAAAACAGAGCACAAAGCGAGGCTGAGCTCTCAGATACGTTATCATCAGTCAGGCCCAAGACTGGGGGGGGAGGGAGGGGAGCAGGGGCTCTGGAGGGAACCACACAGCACCCAGTAACTAAACACCCAGCACGGTCAAGACAACCTCTGAGCACGGGCAGGAGCTGAGGAAACTTAGCTCAATGAACACAGTGAAGTAACAACTGACATCTGGAGAGGTGACAGGTAATCACAGAATCACGGGGGCCTATAGTCTGGGGCTGAGCTGGAGTGTCACCCAGGAGTGTTCCTTCAGTTAGCAAGCCTGCCAAACTAAGAAATGAAGCCTTACTAACTGGTCTCTAGGCAGACTCTCCCTACCTAGGGATGGGGGTGGGAGTGTCAACAAATAAAGAGTAGCCTGGCCTAGTCATCAGTGCCTGATAAATATGAGTAATGTGCGTGTGAGTCACCCTCCCCCACCCTGGTGACCTGGACTAGGCTGGAGAGTCAGAAGCCTACCAGCACTGATCCAAGCTAAGTTGTCCATGTTTCTAATAGCCTATGACAGAGCAGCAGAGTGCTGACACAGAAAGTTCATGGAAATAATCTCAGTGCCCCCTCACCCCCACCCCAAACAAAGTGAATACAGGCTGGGAGCCACCTTCGGAAGTCTTTAACCTTTGGACTTATGTGAGTGGATTTCCTTAATGACATCTTCCGGTTTCTGTCATATACCACCTGACTCACTTGAATATGACCTCAGGGTGTAGTTACCCAGATAAGTAACCAGTTTAACCCCTTCCGGGTTAGATTCCACCAGTAAACCATTTCTTCCCCTAAAGACAAAGCTTTGCTCTTCCTTGAATCAATGGAACTAAGTCTTATAATATGTAAAGTAAGCTCTGAATTTTGGATAAAACAACCATTTGACCCCATGAGTCCCTGAAAATGAAACCTGTCTTATCTACTGAGGCTGTGCTGCCTGAACTTCCTGCGATGGTGGAGATGCTCCACATCTGCACCAACACAGCGGTCACTGTCAGGTGTGGTTACTAAACACTTGGAAGGAGGCCAGTGAGACTGAGACACTGATACTGTTTTGTTCTATGTTAATTAAGTTACTATCTATACGAGGCTGGTGTCTATCTTGCACAGCACAGCTTTAGAGAGGGAGAAGGAGGAGAATCTTCCGAATAAAGTGTGAATTACCTTCTTATATGCAAAGGGGCATTTATGTGCAGCGTAGGTGAAATGCTCTTTACAGAAATCTTGTTCACATACATCGCATTTTAACGGAAGGAAATCTAAAAAACAAACACAAAAATAGTAGTTTTAAAGACTAGAATGAAAGGTTTACATATCATAGTAAACAGGTATTTACCTACACTAAATCCTTTATGACTATCAAATATATCCAAGTATCACTCATGACAAAAAATTGGAGATCAGGAATTTCACAATGCCAACAACACTAAGGAATCTATAAAGCTATCTTTTCAAAGGTAATCCCATCACACGTGGTATCACAAGTATTTAAGCAGCACACTTCTATCCACTTGGTCCTGGCAACTAATATAACGGCCAATTCACTCCTACAAGTCAATAAAATGCCCATTTTTCTATTAATATCTTCTTAAAAGTGCTTACCTAGCTGCTTGCAAGTCTTTTCTGAACAATGTCTCCCCAAATCAGGGAACTCCATTATGAGAAAGTGTCCAAAACACAGACAGCAGAGCAGAGTAGCACCTACAAAAATTAGGCCAGTTAGGAGGAAAGCAAGGGGAGCCTGACTTTGGTCACTGGTATTTAGAACTGACAGCAAAAGCAAGCACACAAGCATCTCTGTAGGGAACATTAAATGTCCCTGTTATCCCAGGCCCCCGCAGGGGACTAAAGCTACACAAACTCTTTTCTTTCAGCAAAGAAAAATAGGGAGCTGGAAGGAGCACAAGTACCAGCTCTTTTGGAATCAACCCCATTGAGGTGCACTGTTTTTCAATCCTTTCGATTCCTACTTTATGAAGCTCACCCCGATTCAGATTTTCATGAAACCAAAGTCTGACTCACTGACAAGGGCCTCCCACGTTCAGTTTACACAGCTGCCAGCGAAAGCTGCAGCCTCGGTGAAGTTTAAGTCATAATTCCTTCTACTGGATACACTTGCTGACATAAACAAAACTGTTACCAGGGGCTAACTCACACTAGTTGACCACACTACCCCAAAGAGATTCAACTCCCTTACGCACTGCGTTTTACTCAGAACTTGGTCCTCAGCGACAACCTGGAGCCCATCGGGGAGGAGAGAGCTGTTAACTCGCCGTTGAAAACACGTAAACTGGTGAAGCTACTGCACTTGATATAAAACTGAGGTCCACAGCGGCCTCGCAAGGTCCCCTCCGTGATCCGGTCCCCACCGAACCTCTGAAAACTCTTGTCCCTCCCAGAATTCAAGTCCCGAGGGCTTTCTGGACCTTCCCCCGCTCCCCC